TTTTGGATTTTGCTGCCAGGACGAAAAATATTTTTCTAGGCCTGCTTGGCAATTATATATAGACCATTCCTTTGATCACTAAGCTCTTGGGACGACAGATCAAAAACATATGTACACACTTAACGAAAGTTACCCAATTCACATGTTATACACAACGAGATTTACAGACTGATAAGATTGTGGAACCACGGAGGCCGATCAAGCCAAAAATGATAGTATTGAGGAAGAAATTGAACTTGTCAAGGCTTGTTTTCGACAAGTGATTTGTTTTTACAAGTGATTCGACTACATGTGGACACCACATGCAAGGTACTGTCAATGATTATTTAAGAAATATAAAACATTTTCCGTGTTGATATACAGTTATATCAACACGAGTGGAAATTGGGGAAACGAGAAATTGTGTGGAAACACGACGCCCGATGGGCGGAGTGTTTTCACACAATTTCGAGTTTTCCCAATTTCCACGAGTGTTGATATAACTATATATCAATACGGAAAAAATGTTTTATATTTGTTTTATAATATAGCACAAAGAAATATAAAAAAAGAAACTTTCCGACATTTCCGTGTTGACATTGAGTTATATCAACACGGCTCTTAGCCAATCAGCGTTCAGAATATACAAACGCTATATTATAAACTGTATTATTAACGAGATGTATTTATTAAAGATAAAAACTCAATAACTTGTTCCAGGGGAACGACACAGATGATATTCAATTCTAAAACAAACCTCAGTTGGTTCTTTTTTCACAATAATTCCACTATAAAAACACGAAATGAAATATTAAACGAACTATTTTATAAAAAAAATTGAGTTAAGCTAAACAGGGCAAGAAAGGAAGGACTTTATCGTCAGAGCCGAACTTAATACAATGAATTAAGCACATGAGAAGCACGGCGTCTAAATCAATTAAGCACTGCACTTAATATTAAGCACGGCTATATTAATAAGTTCGCCTGGTTCAGGCGTGCTACACGGCTGAAGCACATGTTGATTTATACTGCCGTGCTTTACATGAGCCGTACCAAATGCATAAATTATGATAAAATAGAACATTTATAGTACGCGAGCGTTGATTGGTCGAGAAGCGTGTTTCTACACGGGAAATTTCCCGTCTAAACTTACAATCGTAAACAAAACAATTTTAATGCAAATTAAGAAACTTTAAAAAGAATTTTACCTACTCAGCTCATTTTGTAACTGTTACAGTCAAAATACAAAAACCTTCCCACCTCCGCTTCTCAACTTTACTAAGTACTGTACCTTGCTGCTTCTTTTTTGACTTTATTCTGATTTGGTTGTTTCCCTTGTTTTTGTGGTATAGCTTGTTTTTGACCTTGTTTTTGTGGTGTAGCTTGTTTTTGACCTTGTTTTTGTGGTGTAGCTTGTTTTTGACCTTGTTTTTGTGGTGTAGCTTGTTGTTTCCCTTGTTTTTGTGGTGTAGCTTGTTTTTGACCTTGTGTTTCGTTCAGCTTTCCTTGATTTCTCAGGGGTTGTCTAGGTTGGGCCATCCGAGGACCTCTGGGTAACGTTAGTGGGCGATTTGGTTGATTCGGCCGTAGTGGACTTTCTCCTGGTACGATTTGTTGCGGTCCTGGTCCGCCAGGTCGTAATCCCGGTCCCATGGGACGTTCACCTGGACCCCCAGGGTGTGGTCCCACAGGACGTTCTCCAGGTCCCATAGGACCTTTTCCTGGTCCCATTGGACCCCCTCCTGATCCCATTGGACGTTCTCCTCGGTTTATAGAATGGTCCCGGGGTCCTCGTGGACCAAAATGAGGTCCCCTTGGAGAAAACGGAGGTTCCATCGGAGGACCACGAGGTCCACGGGGACCAAATCTTGTGTCAAAATGCGGTCCTCTACGATCAAATGGTGGGCCTTCGTGATCAAATGGTGGGCCATCATGGGGGAAATGGGGTTCTCGGAATGGATGTCTAATGGGTGAAAATGGTCCTGGTCCCATGAATCTCGGAGGCCCTCCCCGTGGGCCGCGTGGCATTCCTCGTGGTGGCATTCTTGCACCTCTTCCTCCACCTCCCTGTTTCTTTGGAGGACTAGTCTTATCAGTATCTAAACATATGAAAACAACCATAAATGTATACGACTAATACGAGACTGATAATTATTGGGAATTATCTACTTACAGTACACTGTAAACCGAAAGTGTTCTCACTTATATAGCGATCGAGTTTCATGTACAACAGAAAAGTTGAGATTTATAAAATAGAGAATTAGTCAACATGTTATACAACAACTCTCAATATCCTTTCCCAAAGTGTATGGACCAATCATAGTTGTCTGTGATATTCACATGCGATTAAAATACCAGAAAATACAGCTAAAATTATAATTTAGATGCTTTGTAAGACGACGGTTAATGTAGAAGCGAGTCACAATATGAACAAAGGTTCCTATTTACAGTAGTTGCTACCAAACAGAAATCGATTGAACGTGAAAGGATGTGATAAATTTACTCTGGAATTGCAAAATGTATACGTCATTTCCATTGCTTGCACTTTTTTTTTTACGATGCCAAAAAAGTTGTCCTTATACTTACCAAACTCAAATCCCAAATTTGAAATATCATCTATAAAAATGATAGAATAAAATGTGTTATGAAACCATAAGCTCGCTTGCTAGCGCAGAGCATGCCAGCAGCTAGCCTGGCTGAATGGCCCTACACGTGCTGTAATTCATAAACCCTAATGAAATGTATCATTGTATAATAGGTTAAGCTTAGTATAAGTTATAGGACGGGTTTTTTGGCTAGTGTTGAGATTACGGTAATTTAAATGTTACTAGAGAGGTTAAGATACCCCGATTCCGATTTACGGGTACGGGTGATATACACGTACCCGTACCCGTAAATCGGGGAATAGCTTGTAACTTAAGAAATCCAAAATACTCCGGCGTGAGAAAACCAATAAGAGAATGGCAACTTTTGCTGTTGAGGTTCGCCATAAATTGTTAAAAGCTTTGACCAGTATATGTGCATTATTTATTTGGGTAAGATGTTGAAAATTTGTACTATTTAAACGGCCCAAAAATAGTAAACAGGAAACACCCGTACCCGTTTGTCGTTTACGTGTAGACCACGGTTTACCGCGGGGAAACGGGTAGAAATTACGGGTAAAATTGCTGACATCAGCAAAAATTGGTAAACAAAATGGCGATACTCGTACCCGTAAACCGGAACCGGGGTATCTTAACCTCTCTAATATATATCGTGTAGGGCTACATAAAGTATATAGCGCATCTCTTTTAGTACACGGCAAAAAACGCCGAGACCGTTGCCCAACAGGACTGAACAATGTTTTGCTGCCCACGTTGTTCACACTTGTCAACAATATTGAACAATGCTGTTGAGCATGAATCGGGTGTAACAATATTGTTCAATGTTGTTGACAGCTATGAACAATGTGGGCAGCAAAACATTGTTCAATCCTGTTTTCATCAGTATTGCATCAACCTGAGCGTTTTTTGCCGTGTAAAATTGAAGCCGAAAATATTCCAGCGGTTACCCCCATTTGAACAGATGGCAGCCATGTTGGAGTTTCCCACTCGCTAATAAACGCTTAAAAAACAACAATAACTTTCATCATTTGAATAGTTTGAAAATGTATTTGGAATAGGTTTAACTTAATGTTTAAATTCCTTGTTTAAGAAATAGAAAACGTAAGAGTCTTCTCATTTCACGAGAATATCCTGAGTCTGCAATCACGGCTTCAATTTTTGAATTGCAGAATAATTAGATGCACTATTTAGTGTATATAAGATATCTATGATATACCCCCAATAAGTAGTATATATCTTATGCTATTCGTGATTCGATTGACTGATAACCATGCTTCCAATACATTAGCATGATGTGTAAACATGAAAAAAGTGGCAAGATCACGAATTACAATAGAACGCCGCTATCTCAAACAGCCGAAAACAACAAAAAGTTCGACATAGTGAACTTTGAGACAACCGAATCAATGTCAAAATTATTACAAAAAAACAGTTAATAAAAGTTACTATAATTAACGGGGATAATCCACACTGTACACACCACAGTGTGCATTGAAGTGACTGAGATCGTTTTGCACCTCCCGAGAATTTTTGCACCTCCCCTGAAAAGTCATGCACCTCCCCTTGAGAAAGTTTCAGTGATCGATCAACGTGAAAATTTGACACTAGGGTCAACACTTCGAAAGCAAGTTTTTCTGTAAAATTGAAACAGTGATAGCCAATTCATCTCTGTGTCAAGTACCCTTTTAATGCAATATTTTGAAAAAAAACTTTGTAGTAATTGTAATTGTAATGAGTTGTACAGCATTACTACACTGATACATATAACACTACATGCATACGTCACGTCATCACGCCCGTTCTAAGCCCTAAATTTCCATGGGGGTCGTGAGCTAGACTGCTGTACCTCCCCTAAATTTTTTCCACCTCCCCCCTAATTTTCACCAAAATCTGGCCTTGTGTTGAAGGCAGTAATTTCAAGCGTGTAGAGAAACTGGGACAGAGGTAAAAGTTTTAGGACTGTCTGAGTTCTACAAACTGTCTGACATGTTGCTTTTCTATCTTCCATGTATTTTATTTCAATGATTTGCACACAGCCCCTCTTGGTTTTTAGCCAAGCCCAATTATAACATCCCACATCTTGGTTGACTGACTAACTGTCTGATTGACCGACTTCAGTATCCTCACATTCTGACATTAACCCGTTAAGCGCCAGCGCTCTCCCCTTGACGAGTAAAATCATCTGGCGTTAGACAGAGTAAAATAATAAAGTAGGGCGCATCAGGGCGCAATGCGACTCAATGGGTTAACTAGACACATGGGCAGATAGGCCAATTAACCCATTAAGTGCCAGCGCTCTCCCCTTGACGTATAAAATCGTCTGGCGTTAGACAGAGTAAACTAATAAATTTGGGCGCATCAGAGCACAATGCAACTCAATGGGTTAATTAACATTAAAATTCCATGTAAATTCTAACATTCCTATGTTGATCACAGGGTCGAATAAGCAGGTAAAATATTTGCAAATTTGATAATTTAATGGCTCATTGAGCTAGGACTGTTCGGTATACCGATGTACCGAAAATATCGGTATTAAATCAATATCGGTATATCGATACCGGACATTCAACCACACCGATATACCGAAATTTCGGATATACCGGAATTTTTCGGTATACCGTGTTAAATTTACCAACTATATGGCGAAACTATAACCTTTATTTTACTACTGAATGGCAATTCAAAGAACTTTCTACTGCAATGATTTAGAATTTCCACTTCAGCGAGATTTTACACTGAGTACGTGCACGTCGTTCGAAACATGTTCGAAACATGTTCGAAATGATCGTTTTCCCTTTTAGAATTACTCAAAACTTCCTTCAAACTTCTATTAAAGAATTTTCCTTTATAATTATCAAAGGAAAACCGGTATACCGATAATATCGGTATAATTTTTTCGGTATACCGATATCGGAAATTTCTCATACCGAACATTCCTACATTGGGCGCCAGCACTCTTCCCTTGACAAGTAATATTTTCTGGCATTAGACAGTGAAAGTAAAATAATTTGGCATTAGACTGAGTAACATAATAAAGTAGGGTGCATTAGAGCGCAATGCAACTTAATGGGTTAATTAATATGCTTTAAATTCAAATATTCAGAGTGCAAATTAAGAAATTTTTCTAGCCTACAATGTATTTCGAAAATTGTAGGCCGTGCTAGTTTTGACCTACCAGAGTGTACATATTTCAATTTCTAATTTTCAATTTCTAATTTTCAATTTTAGTTTAGTTTTGAAATGAAAGATATTTTGGACAGGTTAGTTACATTGTATTCTAGGGTGCATTCCATGTAAACTCCATGCCAGAGAAACAGATACGCGAACATTTGCAATTAATCATGCCAATACCTTAAGTAAAAAATCAATGCGGAGTCAAACAAGACTCTTTCAACCGAAAAGATCCTTGTGAGACACGAAAATGAGAAGAAGAGAGCATACAACAGAAGAGTTCTAGAAATCGAACATGGCATCTTCACGCCCCTAGTTTTTGGGTTAAACGATAGTATCACAAGCATCTATATCACAAGTAATACTAGCTCAGAAAATCTCACTCACAGAAGATAAACCATATTCCATTGTTTTGTCTTGGATAAGGACAAAACTCTCTTTCAGGTTAATAATGTCTGCTCTACTATGTTTACGAGGCTCAAGAAGGCCTTTCTTTATGTACACTGTAGGACAAAGATTCTCAGAACTATGTTTTAATACTGTATTAATACTGTATTGTCTTTCTCTTCTTAACTTTCTCTTCTTAATCTAGTCATAATTTAATAGTATGTTATTGTGTTTTTCATGGAATAAATCTTTAAATTAAAAAATCAATGTGGGGACTAAAACCTAATAATATGGAGACTAAAACCCTGTAAACTAAACATATTTCTGAAGATATGGTGTAAGTATACAGTATTAGCTACTAAGCTATGCTAAATGCAAATACTGTATGCCAACAAATTTTGTAACCTCACACCAGAGATCTACAGCATGGAGTACAATCAGTACATGGAAAGCAGACTGCATTGTATTAAGGTTTTGATTGTATTTGCTAAATATAAATTATGCATTGTATGTCACATTAACTTTTCAACGACAAATGAACTTAAACTGTGAACTACAGTAAATGTATAAGAACTAAATGTTATACAACAGGCAGTTCATCTGTCAAGACAAATAATCCCTCTGATGGATTGTGTCTTACAGTAAGTAGTGTAAACACAAAATGAACTATCCACACAAGCTACTGTAGCTCGAATAGCACAATCTGTACTGGCAATAGTCAAGAAACGAGACAAACAAGTATGCAGATTGTCTCAACAACAAAAGATGACCAGATTGTCTAAGTATGTAGAATTTGCTTTCTTTGTTGAACAATTGACCATTTGCGTAATAGACTAAATTTTGAACTAAACAAGTCTAGACAAATATTCCATTACAGCTTGAAGGAGCATCACAAAATTAGTAATATTCCAAAGTTTCGTTGCAAAATGTTGTAAAATGCGGAAAATATAGCCTTGCGAAATTTGCAATTTTCAGTCATTTTAGATTACAAACGGGAAATTGACAGCCCCACGGCCTTCGAGGCTGTCAATTTCCGGTTTGTAATCTAAAATGACTGAAAATTGCAAATTTCGCAAGGCTATATTTTCCGCATTTTACAACATTTTGCAACGAGACTTTGGAATATTACTAATTTTGTGATGCTCTTTCAAGCTGTAATGAAATTTTTGTTGAGATCAAAATTTAGTCTATTACGCAAATGGTCAATTCAGTCATTGTATCAGAACTGCACGAATGCACGATGTAATTTTTTTCCTGGTCGTGGTAGTATCTACACCAGTCCTAATGCATCAGTGAATTATAGTTCAGGTTATACATAACTTTAGTTTCTACCATGTTATATATACGAAGGTGATGTAGATTTATAATTAAATCTTATGGCTTAATGCAGAAAGAAATAGTGGAGAAAAAACTTAAAGAATATCTTTTTAATCTTTAACATATTATCTTCTAAATCCCTAACACCTAATTTCTAAAATAATAGTGTTCATTATACCTATAAATATATCACCCTTGTTAAATCTCTCTTTCTGATATTACACGTAATGATCAACTGTACTTTGAACAACTAGTTTTAATTATTATATAAATTAACGGTCACTATAGGTAGATGCTTAATATGTAATTACACTAATGATTTCGGATTTGTCTCCTATTGTGCACGAATTATTCCGTTTATATATGAATAGTACGATTAGGGTAGCCCAAAATTAATAAGCCTTATGGTTTCTATTGGGCTCCCTTGTTAAGTATAATGTATATTTATTCCTTCTTTTGTATGATATTATTTTTTTATGGCTAAAATAAATTTGATTTGATTTGATTTGAGAAGTGCTGTCTATATTGCTTTCTTGTTGATTTTATTAATACAAAATGTGTTAAATAAACATTTTTTGAGATTGGAGATCTGACCAGCCTAAATCGGTTGGTCACATGTCCGGTCATAAAAAGCTTTGATCGGACAAAAGCTAAAATTTGGCCGGACAATGTCCGATGACCGACACTAATTTGCAGGCCTGTTTTGTGATGCTCTTTCAAGCTGTGATAAAATTTTTGTCTAGATCAAAATTTAGTCTATAATGAAAATGGTCCATTTTAGTTACAAAATACATTCCCTGTACAACTTGATCTGATATACAGTATTAATACTTTCTGGCAATCTGCAAATCAGGCAATCTGGTCAACTTAACATTCCCCTTTTTACTGGTACGACAGGACAAAAAAAACACGTTCCAATATCGTATAACTAAACTCTGGAATGAGCTGCCATTTAATCTTAAATCAAGTAGAACGATTAGTAGTTTTAAAACCGAACTGCATGAAAAATATCTTACTGTCTAAGTGAATTTTTAAATATGTTTTGAGTATTAGTACATACAGTAATATACTATATTTATAGGTTTCTATTTAGGTTATTTTCATTGTAATGTAACTAAATTTGTATTTATATAATTGATTCTGAAAAGCCCCTTGTTTGGGGATGATCAATAAATCTCATCATTATCATCACTATCATCATCGTCATCATCATCATCATCACATCATCATCATCACTATCATCACTATCATATCATCACTATCATCATCATCATCATCACCATCATCATCATCACCATCATCACTATCATCATCATCATCATCATCATCATCATCATCATCATCATCATCATCATCATCATCATCATCATCATCATCATCATCATCATCATCACCATCATCACTATCATCATCATCATCATC